ATCCGGATGTTACAAAGGCTCTGATACCAACTTGTAACGACCCAAATTTTACAAAGAAAATTTTTCATTTTTAATTAGTCAACCATTTTTCATAAAACATAAAGATTCCAATAATTGTTTTCAAAACCACCAACATTACAACATTATTATTTTCAAAACATCAGAATGTCCCCCAAACCAGATCGGAAAAGAGAGATAGAGTGCACGCCGCATCATCACGCCTTGCCTTTGCTCTTGGGCTCCGATGTACCTGAAACAAATCCACAGACGGTAAGCTGAAAGCTTAGTGAGTCCCCCAGAGCATACCCCACACAAACCACATATCACATTAGCTATAAAGCTACCTCTACCACGCATCACATGTCAATTAGTCATAAAGTTATCTCCACCGTTAGCCACAAAGGCTATCTCTACCATCAGCCATAAAGGTTGTCTCTACCATTAGCCATAAGGTCATCTCTACCATTAGCCATAAGGCTATCTCTACCGTTAGCCACAAAGGCTATCTCTATCACATATCATGCACACATACATATCACACCTCTACGTAACCAGTAAACCAACTATCACAAAATGGGCCGACCTTGGTGCCTTAGACCCATTGGTATGTTGAGAAAACTCACCTCACAAAGCTGAATCGGCAACTGAATTCAAATATGTCATGCTGCTCTTCCCAAACTGCCTATAACCAATAAGTAAATTATCTTAACTCAGCCCCTAAGGCTCCTCTGAGTCAAACCTGGTCAAAGTCTAGGTCTATAGTCAAGGTCAACACTCCATATTGACCTTGACTCGACGAGTACAATCAGTCACTCGCCGGGTCCCTGCTTTACTCATTGACTCGTCGGGTCGCCAAAGGGACTCGTCGAGTTCCTTGATGTTCACGGCCGTAAACCACCAACTGAGCACCCTTTACCGTAATCCCTTGGCCGCAAACACTTGGTCGTGAACCTTTAGACGTGAACTATTGGTCGTAAACCCTTGACCGTGAACCTTTGGCCATGAACACTTGGCCGTGAACCCTTGACCGTGAACCTTTTCCAGTGGAACTTAGGGTCCCAAACTTTAGATCTATCCTACACTGCCCAGTGGGGGAAAAAATTCCATTCACTTGTTTAACTGTTAAGAATAATTTTATCTTTCGACTGGGAACTGCTTACCTTTGGTGCTTTCTGTTTTTTATATAAGGTAGTGGTTCCATTTTTCTTCCGTTAGTTAAGCCACCTTTTTCTAAAAGGGATTGTAGTAATTCTGTTTTTATACTCTTTAAAATGGCTCTCTCATATTGAGAAATTCTGTCTAGTGGCATTCGATCACAGAATCCATTGACAGCTGCATAAATGACTAAAATTTGTTTTTCAATTGGAAGTGGTGCATATTGTGGTTGTTTCGGTACTTCTGTAAGCCTGGCCTCTCATGGCCATAACACTCAAAGAATTTAAGGATCTTAAACCGAAAGTGACAGATTGATACCTCAAACGAATGCCCACACGAAATAGTCGCTTGATCTAGTGCTTTTCCTCTTGGTACTTCCTCTTCAAGCTTGGAATTCTCCCCCAAAATCCCAAAGATAGCCCCCAAATGCACTCACTTCACACCTTCGAGAGTTTGCGGCCGTAAACGGTCTTTTATCGTGACAAGGGAGGCCGCAAGGGTCTATATGATGTTTATATAGGGGGCAAACCCCAAAATTAGGGTTTTCTTCAAACCGCTCGGACTCGCCGAGTCGGTCTCGTCCCGCGTCCAAAATGTCTTGACTCTACTCGACGAGTTGTTTTCCCAACTCGCCGAGTCCATGCATAAAACCTCCCCAATTTGGCAACTTTCCAACCAACACCTGAACCACGTGTTACATGTGAAGTATACATGGAACAATGGAGATGTGTCGATGAGGTTGAGGCAAGGGTGGTTAGCACACTACCCCTTATGGCATGGAGGGACGTGGTTGATGCCACGACTGACCACTAGTTTTTTCTCTTTGGTTTGACGTATCTTCACGTTAGAATGGTGAACTCTATTCAATCATCTATATGACGACGTGAAAACTGATGTAGAATGAAATAGTTGTGTGAGGTGTGAACAATATACCTCACAAATAACAAATTAAACGTCATATCGTTAAAAAAAATCTGATATTGCCTTAACCCGAATAAGACAAATAGGGTCGGGTTTAATAGGGTCTGAAAGTTAAAATCGGGTTATTCGAGTTAACCCGACAAATTCAAAATGTATTTAGGGACGGGTTTCGGGTTGCTTTATACTCCCTCCGTCCCAAAATTATAGTCTATCTTTCCTTTTTGGTTTGTCCCAAAATAATAGTCCACTTCTAAAAATAAATAACAATTTTACCAAAATACCCGCTCATTATTACTTAACCAACTAAGCATTTAATAGAACATTAAATGCAAAGTAAGGATAAAACTGTCATTTTATTAAATAAAATTAGTGATAATTAATGTCTTTCTTAATATGTGTGTCTTTTGTCTGTGGACAATAATATTGGGACGGAGGGAGTATAATATTTTGCGGGTTCAGGTCAACCCAACTAACCCGAATAAGGATTTAAGCTACCTGTACTAAGGATATATTGAGAATTATTCTTCTTAGTGTTATATCTATCAATAAATCGATTCATCACGTATTAAGTGAAAAATGGTTTAGCTCTCCTCCCAAAGATGAATAGGCATGGTACTGCTGTACAGTACTTCATTTTTTCTAAGCGTCGTAACAAAAATAGTCCATTATAAAATTTTAGATATTTATTAGCTTTTTTAGAGATGTATTTTATTTTCATCCGTTCAATTGTTTTCTAGATATTTTGTTTAGAACACCAAGTATGCTATCTTTTTTAATTTTTTAATTTTTTTTTTCATATTTGATGCAATCTGCCAATCTTCCGTTACAGTACCATGGAGTGATTTTATTATTGTTTTGTATGTAAACTATGTTCAGAAAGCACTATTATTATTAACACAAATAAGTTGCTGCCATTTGTATATGACAAAAATTAAATACTTAATCCTTAAAGCTTATGTATATTGTGTCTAGTAGCAACTTCATATAATTTATGCATTTTTCATATTTAACCCAACAAACCCGACCCTATTAACCTGAAATCCGATTAACCCGAACCCGACTAATTTGTAACTTAATAGGGTCGGGTTTCGGGTGAAACTGTTTTTTTTATAAAAACCCGACTAACCCGACCCGATTAACCCGAACCCCGATCAGGTTGACCCGATTAACACCCTTAAAATAACTAAGAAAAATTAATTTATCAAATAATATATATTAATGGTATCAAACCAACTTTTTATTTTATTTCTTCAAAATATTTGAAAATAATTATTATTACTAATATATAAATACATTAATTAAGCAACTCCAAACAATATCTATATACTTTCTTATCCATTTTAATTTCATAGATTCGTCTCTTCTTTGCACTTATATTATTATTATATATAATAAAAAGCCAAGTGTCATAAAAATAGTAAATTTTTTAGGTTTATGATTTTATCAGAATTTTGTATGTCAATACTTTTGGTTCATGTGTAGAAGATAAATTATAAAAATTATCTCTATAATTATACAAATTTTATTGAAATGGTCCATATATTTTAAAAAAGTTACAAAATAATTTATATCTAACAGAAAATTTACAGATTACGTCCTCGAAAAAGCAGGGATAATTTAATATATATTAAAAAAAGCAAGTGTTTTAGGAATAGTAAACTGATTAGGCTTAGGATTTTAGCCACAAGAGGTTTATATGTTGACAAGTTTGGTCCATATATAGAAAATAAATTACAAAAACAATCCATGTAATTTATAGAAAATGTCTATATACAGCTTTTCTATAGAAATTTTCCATGTGTTTAAAAAATTAAAAAAATTGTTCTGGTCTAATAGAAAATCTACAGAGTAAAATGACATTTTCCACTTCTCTACTTTTAAAAATGTCACTTTAACCCCCTTCGACTTTAGTCTTTATAAAATATCACTTTGACCACTTCCATTGTATAAACTTTGGTTTTTAGTATATATATAAATTCGAGTTTGTCTATGTTTCAACGCATTTTTTTTTACCTTTTTTATGTTTATTATTATGTACGTTTCTTATGTATAAGTCGGGTCACATATAATGTGTTTTTATTATTTGAACTTTCGTTCATTAACTTTAAAAAAAGATATTACTTACTTATTTTTATGTACGTTTTAAATTCGAGTTTCTTAACGTTTCGACGTAAATTTTGTATACATTTCCGTGCTTATTTTTATGTGTGTTTTCTACGTATGACTTTAATCACATATATTATATTTTCATACAATAATATAATTTGGAGTTAATCATGTAAACCCAGAGCAATAACATGATAAACCAAAAAGTCAAATGGACCAAACCTCTATCGACAATGGACGAACCCTCTTACGTTCCCACGAAACGAGTAGGATGCAATTTCTAGTTTATAATATTTTACAATTCAACATTATATAATTTAATCTTTAATAAATTAATGAAGTACATATATTTAATCCATTTTTAGCTAAAGTTCTCGATTTTATTTTAATTTACCTGATAAAAAAGGTTATCAGTTTCAATTAAACTATCATGACAGAAAACATCTTATTTAAAATTTGAAAACAAGGATTCTCCAGAACTAATTTATATTTTAAAATTATAATGATTAAGATTTTTCCAAATAAAATTATTATAGATAATTAGATATACCTCATTCAAAATGCATCTCAAATAAAACGTAAATCCTAATCTTTTTAATAAATAAAATTTCATTGTTTTTAACTACATTCTGTTTTTACCTTATTGGCATATTGCCCCTAATCTCATCAAATGGTTTACGACTCTCGGCTTGATTGGTCCTCTATCCATGTGCACTTGATTGATAACAATTCACGGGTGTCACAAGATTTGTAGATCAATATCAAATTTCAAAGGTTCACGGGTAACCTTTCATCATGTTTGACCGATCTTTCTCCAGTCAACCAATTTTAACCCAAACGCCTTCACTTGGAACTTGCCGATGAACCACAAACAAAAGATAATGCCTCCCCGGAGCAATGTTGCTGGAAGGTGGCGCCGTCACAATCACTTGGTACTTTGTTTTCCCAATAGCCTTTGTGGTGTTCCCACCTTCAAGGATCAACAACCTTTGATTCATGGAAAACGAGTGCGTGTTAAAAGCCGGTGCAACCATTGTCACCATGACTGAATCCGGATCCAGCTCATCCACAACCCTAAACCTGATAACCACCCGGTTCCCATATCCAAACTCGGTTTGGGAATCGGGTGTTATCTTGGGTCGTGACCTGGCACAGCGTGGATCCAGATATGGTGGCAGAAATGCCTCCAACCGAAGCTCGGTTGGATAAAGTACATCTGTGAAATTATAATATATGTGAGGATTGCTTCCACCAACAAGCACCCTCCCATCGCGAATCAAGAGAGCTGTTGAATGGTACATTCGCGGTATTGTGGTCGGAACCTGAGCCTCGAACCGGTCCTCAAACGGGTTATCGGGTTTGTATATCACCGGGTAAAGAGCCGGGTCCCGCCCGTATTCCCATCCAGCGGTACCTGCGGATCCTCCATTAATAATCAAAACATCACCATTTGGTAGCAAAAGCATGTCACCCATTACACGAGCTAAAGGCATAGTCTCCATGACCCATTGTGGATTCGGGTCGGATACTTGAATCCGTCCACAAGTTTTCAAAGCTTTATCAAATCTCCCATTTTCCGCATTCACAAATGCTCCTTTGGGTGCCCCACCACAAACCAATACCTCAACGACAGCTACTTTACCTTGTACAATCCGCATTGGAAGTAGTACTGCAGACCCAGTGCTTGGGTAATTTCTCGGGTCACCACCGGGTATTTCAGGGTAAGCCTTGAGAACTTTGTTTCTCGCATAATCAAATAGAATTGCTCGATTGTTGGCAAAAATGAACAACTTTCCATCAGGAGTGAGAAACACAAATGGGTATAGATTGTTTTCAAGTTTCGGATCATTCGTCTGAACTAAAAATGGCAAACTATAAGCCTTCTCTGACTTCGACAATTTCGGGTAAAACTCATAGTTATATTGCCGGCGACCACCAATGATAATCTGGCGTCCGCCGGGGAGAATGTGATTAGTTGCATACCATCTCCGTTTAACCAACGCCGACGTGATTTCTACCCAATCACATGTATCGCAGGATTTAAAAACTCTAACAACATGATCTCCGTCGTTGAATCCGCCGGTCTGGAGGAGGCTGCCGTCAGGCATTAAAGCACCTGAAGAACACCAGATGTCTGTTTGAACCATTAGTGGACGAAAGGAATTGGATGCGACGTCGTACTCAATAGAGTGGGCAGTGCAGTCTCTCTTCAAAACATAGTCGTGTGCGTCTATCCGGCATTCACCGTTGGCGAGAGAGAGGTTGGAGGCTCCGAAGTCGGTGCGGTCGTAAATGACTACACGGTCGTTAGGGAGGAGTTGCATGTGCATGGCGGTGATGCCAATGTTTGAGTGGAGGAGGGTCCAGTTGCTGGCGGCGGAGGCGATTAGTGAACATGGTGGGGTGGCGATGAGGAGGAGGTAGAGAAGGAAGATGATTAGAGTGGAATTCATTAGTGGTGGTGATGGAGAGGTCGTCAATGGTATATTGGCGGTGATGGTGGTGGTGGTGTATTTTATAGAAAGGAAAATTAGTTGGGAGGCGGTAGAAATCTGCGGTGGAACGAAGGGGTCAATCACTCACACCTCGATTGACTTTGTAACAACTCTCGAAAAACTATGAACGATCATATATCATCGTCTTATTTACTTTTAACATGTTAAATAATTATTTTGTATTTATAAGGTTTGTTAATTTGAACAGGAAAAAATGGGAATTTTTTATACTTTATAGTTTATCCTATTAAAATGATAGATATTATTTGCTTTATCTGAATAAATGGAGTTGATTTTTTAAACGAAGGATGTTTGTTTTATATTTTTATTTTTTAATTTTTTAGTTTTTTCTTACATTTTATTTTATTATGTAATAGGAATCATTAAAAGAATCACATTATGAAATAGAATAAAATTTATAATATAACTTATTCTTGATTAATTAAGATTTAATGATGTTAATTTAAAAATTATGATTTTAAGTTAAAGGTAAGGCTATTTTTGGTATAAGTAGGGTCGGTCTGTTGATTTTAGGAGCCTTCTGCGAAAATTAAAAAATAAACTTTTAAATTTAAATTTTTTACTTATAACCAAATTTCATTATTTCCAATGAAGGTTCTGTAGTCTTTCTTGTTCAACTATTGAACAATTGCACTTTAACATTACACTTTTAATTAATACAATTAATTTTAAAATTAATCTAATTAATTTATGATTAATTATTAATTAAACATTACTATTTCTAATTAATATATTATTTCCATAACATATTAATAAATTCATGTATTGCTATTTATTAATGATATAATAAATCAGTCTCTCTCTTTAACAATCATCATATTTAATTACTAGGTTTGAGGACAATCCAAAAAGACTTTGTTAATAATTCAATATTATACTAATTCAGTTATTGGTTTAGATATCTAATCAAACACGCCCGGCATTGGGCCCCACCCAGAACAGATATGCCAGTAACATGTGATGGGCCCCACCCAACACACTCATCAGGCCCCGCCTGGCATCGAGCTCCGCCTGGTATACATACAAACACATACAATACATGCAAGAGTCACAAAGACAGCTAGCATGCTATAACATAATCCAACGGGTCGGGATTGGTGCCTCCCGCAAATACTGAGAGAAGACTCACCTCAATCTGCTGAAAAATCAGATAAATGATCGAGCTGTTGATCCGGAAAATCTCCGCACTAAATATGATCAAATAATACCCTAATTAATAATTACGTCATAAACCATAACCGAGAGCCCAAATCCATAATCCTTACTCTTAGGGTAAAAGATTATTTTACCCCTCAAAGCGAAACCCATTCAATCAAAGCCCAACCCCTAAAAATGGCCCAAAAAGCATTTTAGGCCCACAGCAGGTAGTACACCCCGCGTACTCAAAAGACTTCCATTGGGCCTCATACCCAATACGCCCGACGTACTGGCCAGGGCCTAAATCCTTAACCAAAGGTCTTAATCCCTTGAGACCTTAATGTCCAAACCTCAGATCTATGTCTAAAAAGGTCTTAATCAATAAAGTTGGCAATTTTACTCCTTTGCATGACTTAATGGGACCCAAAACCCGTTTTCATCCATCTAGGTCAATATTATGAACACCAACTCTAGCATGATTCATCAAAACCCATCAAGATGACATTTTTATGTACTAACAACATCAGAAATGCTAAGATCTAACATTCTAAGCTCCTGGAGTAGCTCATATTCACAAGGATGACTCAAATGACCAAAATATGCCCAAAACAAGCCCTATATTAGATCTAACACATAGAGTCATCAAGATAGAAGCTTTATACCTCCAAATGCTAGCAAAACTGATGAAGACTTTGGATCTAAGAGCTCTACTCCAATCAAGGCTTGAACACCAAGCTCCTTCTTCTTCCAAGTGAGCAAAAACACCAAAAGTTAACCACCAAATCTCAAGAACACTCAAGAACAAGCTAGGGTTATCTTTAGAGGGAAGGAGGCTGATAAGGGGAAAGGTCTTGAATCTTTAATGATACTTAAATAGGGGTCAAATCCTAAAAATGACACGTACCTATTTTGCAAATTTTGCAACTTTTAAAAATGGGTAGGGTGTGGGGTTTTTGTTTACCGCCGACAAAACACACACAAAACACACATAAATTTGACTTTTGCCACCGGTGAGTTTCCACCACCAGCAATACACCATCGGTAAAAGAAAGAAAGGGTGAGGGGCGGTGTTCACTGCCGGTAAAGGCTGCCACATAGGATTGTCGGCGGTGAAAACACTACCGCATCCCACAGCCTAAAGGATATATGGATATTAAACAAGACCCAAATGGCATTTGGTCTAAGTTGATGGATAGGAAATGTTTTTTTTTGAAAGAGAAATGGATAGGAAATGTTAAAGAAGTCTAGTATGAATCCAACCGTTTTGCAACTGTTACTCAATCTTTTTTTGGAAAAGGCAGAGTTATATTAAATTGTGTACTAGGGAACGTTAGACGATGTCCGATATACCTGGCAGCCCGGAATCGCCGCCCTTTCCACACACCTAAATTCACCACTTTGGTCTGAACAAGGCTCGAACCCGCCACCCTAGGAGAAAACCCCTTTCCCCCTTGTGTGCATCACCAAAGTTATGTTTGTCATCTAAGTTATATAATTTAATTTTATGTGGATTAAATATAGGCTTAGGATCCAATGATAAATTAAATATTTGTGAGAAATAGAAGAAACAATCACAACCCTGGATCAAATTCATCTAACGATCTTGATTTATACAGGGAGTCAACTACTTTTTAACCACCCATAGCTATCCATGTAATATCAGCCATTCGTTTTTTTCATCAAAAGACACAGATTATTTTTAATAAAATAGGATGAATAAAATTTAGATATCGTTGTTTCCCTTATTAATGATAAATTCCTTCAAACATGTATTTCAGAGGAACTGAACGAAATTGAATGTGATTGGATGACTAATTGATTAGTTCCTTGGGTCTACTATAAGGTGTTTCGCAAACGTTCCCTAAAACAAGATATTTGGCTATTCTCTATGTTTTCTTCCCCCCAAATTTACATATTCAACATATATCTCACCACGAAAACACTTGACACTTAACACAGGACATATACATATCTTATTTCACGACAAACAAGTCCCCGAAAAATGAATCAAATCGAGCAACGGCATCGATGATAAGCGTTTCCCCCATCTAACTTCACTCCTCAAAAACTGAGGGTAAAATGGTCATTTTCTTTTCAATCTAACTCACATTGTTGTTTCATTACACTGGGTCTCCAGATAAGATCTCGAGTTCAGCCCACCAAAGAGGCGAAAGTCTGGGCACTGCTTGCTCAGGTGAAATCCCCAGGCCTCCCTTTAGCTTCTGAACCACTTGTTTCATGGTTGGTCTGTTTCGAGGATCTTGTTGGATGCATTCTTCAATAACTTGATAAATGATGTCAACTTCTTCTTGATTAAATGATTTTAACGTTGGATCGACCGTGTTGTCATCCAGATATTGCTGCTGCTGAGAGATAAATGGAGGATTATGTAAATAAAAAAAGAAAAGAAAAATGTTGGTGGAAAGGGTGTTACCGAAGGTAGAAAAGGTCCTTTGTTGCCAGAAATGATTTCGCGCATTAAGAGGCCAAAACAGTAGACATTTGTCTCCGTATCAATAAGTGGTGGCAGTTGAGAGTGCTCGGATTCAGAATCCGCTGTTGATACTTTTGATTTTGACATCAAATCTCTCCAAAAACTCATCTCTGCGACCTGAGAATTAAACAAGTAAATAAAAGAGTAAATTACACGATTCGTCCCTCGTCCAAGTGTCAAATTGCTCGTTTAGTCCCTATTTTCAAAAATTAACTCGGACCGTCCCTGTAATATTTGTTTCTCACTCGGACGGTCCCTTACGAACATAAAATGACTATTTTACCCTTCCTCTTTCTTTTTTGATATATTTTTGATTTGTTTGTTATTAAAAATTTAAAAGAAAAATAAAAAAATAAAGAAAAACAAAAAGGGACCCACCACTACAAACACTCATCAACTACACTAACCTCACTCACACCCTTTAACCATTTATCACCAGTTTATCTTCATGAATCATTAGTTCATCTTCTACCATCGGACCACCGCACAACACTTCCATGTTCGCAAATCCAGACTCCATCGTCACATGTTCGCAAATCCAGACTCCAGGTGGTGGTTTTCGGAGGTGGCTTCAACCTCTTCACCTAAATCCATCTTCACTAATGCACAATCCAACGTATCCGGTGGTAACCCAACAGATCCGGTGGAGATGGACGGCTATTTCATGTGGTTTCAACAGATCCGTTACTGGTGAGATCCAAACCCTAGCCGACGGAGATGGCGGCGTCAATGTGACGAAACCCTAGCGTACAAAGGCTTGGAGGCGACGATTACTTGCAGATCTGAGGCTATGTTTAGTGACGATACAGGTGAAGGAGGTCGGAGGTGGTATCGTCGACGTTCTGGGGTGAAGGAGGCAAGAAAGGAAGGTCGGCGACGTCGTTGGTTGGCTAGGGTTTTGGATTCTTGTCGGGAGTGGGTGAGAAAGAGGGAAACATCGCCAGATGGTGTCTTTATTGGCTGTGGAACAGCGGTGATGTGGTGGTGGAGGAGCACCGGCGGTGATGCAGGTGGGTGGTGGTTCATGAAAGAAAAGAAGAAGAAGGATATAAGAAGGTGGGGACCGATTATTTAATGATTTCTTTAAAATTATAATTAATAATAATAACAATCTAAAAATAAATAAAAAATAAAAGAATAAGAGCAAAATAGACATTTTAAGTCTGGTAAGTGATTTAAGGGACGAAACGTGCAATTTTTAACGATATAAGGGACGGTCCGAGTTAATTTTTGAAAATAGGGACTAAACGAGCAATTTGACACTTGGACGAGGGACGAATCGTGTAATTTACTCTAAATAAAACATGCGTGCATTGGACTCGGACCAAAACTGCAAATTATTTGTCCCATCCCATCAAAAAAGAAAATTGAACTTACTTTGGGCGCATAATCTTCGGTCAAACGGATCATTGTGGAGTTGAGGTTTGAGTGGGGTATGGGAGGATTCAATTCATGCATGTACTCGAGACAGTAAGCCGTTCCCATAATAATTCTCATCCTTGAACGCCAATCAAGATGCTCAAGCTCTTTAACTGTATATATATAACACCCAACAAACATTATACATCAACACAACTCTTGTTTCATATGGATTTTAATCAAAATAATTAAACAACCATTTCTCTCACCGTGTAGATGCTCTGAGAGTGAGCCATTAGGAGCATACTCGAACACCATCATCCTAGCAAAAGGTTCATCCTCCTCACAATAACCAATAACATTAACAAAGTTTTTGTGATTCACTCGTGACAACGTATCAATCTATAAAAATTTCAAAACCAACCATATGTTATTTATTGTTAATTCTTATGTTAGCTACACAAGTTAAATGTGGATGGATTTGGATTTGGATTTGGATTTGGGTATTATTATTATTGGTTGTTCAATTACGAACTTGCAAATAAGCAAACCTTCTTACGGAACCCTAATTCGGCACGCTTTGACCAGTCTTTGAGACTTGTCATACTGGTTGATGCAACACAAATCTCGACTCCACTTGATAATGTTCCTTTGTATAGAGTGTAACCTTCTGTTGTCTCGATAATGTTGCTGAAATCCTCACATGCTGTTTCTAGCTCCATCCGGTTTAGCTTTGGAACACCTATAACATATGTAGTAAGTAGTACATTTGTATTTCCAATCAGGGTACTTATAAATGAACATTAACATTAAGTCATTTTTGTTTCAAGAAATATTTACCAGTAACAAAAGCTTTCTGCAACTGGCCACTGATACCAGTTCTCCAAGGAGCTATTGTCTTCACTGCCCGACTTCGACACACACACCAAAGAGTTATGCAGATGATTACCACAAGGATTATGCAAAATATTATGACCAAAATCTTCCACATATTTGAATTGGATTCACTTTCTTGATTTTGATTTTCAGGAGTTGAGTCTTTAAAGGGGCCATGTGATGATGGTGGGGGATTATTATTAATATTAATAGTAGGTGTAGATGTAGGTTCTTTTTTTTCTTTTGGTACAGCAGGAAATGATCCGCTGCTTCTACTACTTGGGAGATTTATAATCTTTGGGGGACCAAATCCGTCAATTGGAGAAGGTGCAGCTGCTACATTTGGAGACTGTTCTGCTAGTTTTCGGCGTACAATATTCCCATCATGTTCCTGTTTCACATCTTCTGCTTTTTCTGTTTCTTCTTCTTCTTCTTCTGATTCAGCTCCTGATTTACACATGTAAACAAGATTATGTTTGTTTTTTATGCAGGACAGGATAAAACAGTTTTGAACTATTCTTAAAGGGTTAAGAAATAAGTAGCAATTATGTAATAAAGTGGTAATGCAGGGGCAGTTTGGTCATTCTCCTTATTAGATCGGTTTACAGTAGTTTAAATAAGAGTTTGGGAAAAAAAAAAAAAACAGCGTCTTACTTTTTTCAGTGTTAAGGCAATTGTCTGAGGAGCACTTTCCATGCATGATACTTGAGCAAAGAAAGAACAAAAGAAAATTAGTTAAAACAAATAAAAAAACATTAAGTTCCAAAAAAATCGGAAGTTGTTCCTTACAATTGGAACGATTTGAGGTAACTATTAACTGTTTCTTTGATTCGTATAAGAAGAGGATCAGCTTTCTTTAGAAGTTTAAAATCTCCCTGCCAGATGCTGTTCACAATAGTAATACAACACAATAAGTAGACATTCTCCTCCTTTCAGCATAAAAAAAAAAAAAAGGAAATCAAGTAATGATAGGGTACATACTCATCACTCACTGCTCAAACTTTCAACACCAATCATTCAAATCATGAATGAAATGTTTGTAACACAATAATTTGAGAAAACATGCTTAGAAACTTTTATCTGGTGATTGTTGCTTGAAAGTTTGTGCACTTGATATTGAGTTCAAAAAGATGATCATAACCAAGTACAAAGATGGGGTTTATACTTAAGGTAAATGCAAGAGATAGCAATGTACTTTAGTTTATTTTTGCATTATAACAACTTACTTTCATTTTTTCTTATTGAGGCATTGTACTTTGATAAATCTAACCATCTATATAAGTGCAAATGTTGATGCTATGGCTTTCAAAGTACAATGCTCTAATTGGAAAATTATGAAAATCGGATGCTATAATATTAAAATTTAAAAGTAGGCTGCTGCTTCTTGCATTTAAGTTTAAGCCATGTACATGGTGATGATAATGATTAATGAGTATGCCCAAAAGAATGTGGAACCTCTTACCAACGTCCAAATTTCCTATTTAGACATCCAATCCCATCTGCAACAAGGGATAAAAGATTTTCATCATATTGCATTTCATACAGAAAGTTGAGAGTCCTGAGCTCCATGGGAATGGATCCTTCAAGATTGTTGTTACACAGCAACCTAGAGCACAAAACTTCCAATATTAAGGCTCTTGCATAACCAAATTTGACTAATATGATCAAGGGCTAATAATTCTAGTTTTATAAATAAAGAATTTCATGTTTCTGCAAAAAGCTCTGGCCCACATAAAGGGCAATAAAAGTGCATGAGATAGATTTGGTGTGTACAAGTTTGACAGTTAAAAGTCAAATGATGAGATGTGAGGGAGTTAGTTATTTTACTTACAACCGTTTTAATGAATGCATTCTTCCTAGCTCTGAGGGAATAAATCCACTGAAATTATTATCCCTCAAGTCTAGTATCTCCAGCATTGTGAGCTCACCAAGCTCTTTGGGAATAGCTCCTGAGAACTGATTCTGTGAGAGGACACTAATAAAACACGAATGCATGAGCACCAGAAGGAGAATATTAACAAAAAATAATCTTAAAACTTACTAATATTATCATGACTCTTGATAAATTCATTTCTCTCACATTTGTGACCTCTCTAGTGATTCTAAGGTGCTATTTTAGCTGTAAGTGTTTCTTTTTAGCTTAATGCACAGAGAGCGGCTTAATAGGGAAAGGAGGCTTTCTCCATTCAGTTCTAGCTTTTTACAAATTTGACCTCGGTATCCAGGTTAGTGTTACCTATTTACCCATTATAAATGTTATTAGACAAACCAATGGCATCAATTTGGGTTCAAAAAATTCCTTTATTTCTTTTTGCAAAAGGGTATTTTAGATCTTTAACAAAAAAAATGTTTCACAATCTTCATGGAATTAATTCACCTTCCCTTTCACAAGATTTCCCACTATTCCTGATTCGATTAGACATTTACCACTGTAATAACCAAGTTTTGTTCCACAAACTTGTATGTTGAGTTGTTGACACATCATCAGAAATACACACAAAACTCCATCTCCATCTTTTAGAAGTACCATGTGGTGATTGCCTCATTCTTAAAGCTTCAATTATGCATTGTTTCTTTTATTTTTTCATTTAAGTGTTGTCATGATAAAGTATTCAAGAAAATGATGGCACACTTGGGGAAATGGAAAAAAAAAAAAAACAAATGAGAGCAAATTTGTAAAAAGTTATCACTTAATGGAAAAAGTTTCATTTCCTTGACTTTCTCTATTAAGTTGTTCTTTCTGAATTAAGTCAAAAAGAAACACCTACATGTAACTTAATGGATTAAGTCTTGTTCCCATTATTTCAAATAGAAACATCTGCTAAACATTGATGAACCATATCCTTATTTACATCTATCGTACGACTAAACCATGGATACAAGAAGCCATATATGATTATACCAAGTGGGGTTATAACCGAAAACTACATAATCACTCAAACATACAATAGTTTTATAATAGGACATAACTGAGAAAAAACAACAAACCTACCAAACTAGCAAAGAAAATAGAATAACACTTACAGATGTCTCAAATGAGTAAGGTTCCCAATCTCAGGTGCCAGAACTCCTTCCAAAGATAGCCCGTTGAGATCCCTTCAAAAAAAAAAAAAAAACACATCACAATTCATATTCATTCTAGATATAAGCAACATTGTAGGCATGAAATTTAGTCCTATACATTTGTTTGCATAGTGAAAAGCAGAGAGCAATGGACTTACAAGACTTGAACATTACCATCAACACAAAGAACATTAGACCATGAGCATGGATCAAGGTCACTGGGATTCCAACTTGTGAATGCGCCATATGGATCATAAGACACTCCTGCCCGAAAATCCAACAAGGCCACACCTATATTCCAATTACAAACAACCTAGAAATATTTAAAAACCAAATATATATATACATGTACACAAATTAAAAAGGTCCCACAACCAACATAGGGGAGGTGAATCCCAATGTCCCAAGAGTAAGGAAGGTGATGTTCATGCTTGAACCTAAGGGGGCGTTTGGAATGCAGAATATTTGGAATATGAGGGAATTGAATTCTATCATGCATTTGGTTGGCAGCAAATGGAATGGAATTCATGAGCCAGAAGAGGAAAAGCAGATGGAGAGGGGAGAGGAATTTACTAGTGAAATTATATGGTTAAAAGGTTATTTGAGTGATTGTAACAAGGAGGAAATGCTGGGAATTATATTCCATGGGTTTTAGGATGGAATGTCGAAATCCATTGATCAAGAAGAAGAAAAACTGATATTTAGTATTTGCTTGTGAAATTATATGGTTAAAAGGGCATAACAAGGAGGAAATGTTGGGAATTGTAATCGTTGGGTTTTAGTTTTTAGGGTGGAATGTCAGAATCAATTGATCAAGGACTTTGTGAATTCCAACAGAATTCAAGTCTTTACACAATTGGAACAACATGAATGATTGGAATGGAATTGAATTCTAATTGTAATTTTGGCCAAATCCCATGGGATCCAGCAAACCAAACGCCCCCAAAGACCTCATTATGGATTCTTACCTCCTTACTGCTAGGGCAAGCATGTGGGGACTACTAACAAGTCAAGCTACTTTTTTGTGGAATATTACAAACTTACCCTCTGGATTCAGTGAAGAACACATGTGAAGAAGAATCAAAAGCATGAAACAAGCTAAACAGAGTTTATATGTTGTCCATCTACACCCCATTGCGGTGGTGGAGGCAGCGGTGGTTTCTGCCAACAGCCAGGACTCTACAAATTGCTAAAAAAAAATTCCCAGCTTTAATGGCGACAAAGCCTCCTTCAATATAACTGATCACTCAAGACCTCCAAATCACTCAACTAAAACCAACAACAATCTTTCTTTTTCGGGGTTTTGATGATAAAAGAATGTAGAACCAATAAAAAAAATGGTAATCTATACACCTAAGAAAACCCTATTTTATAAGAATACAACAACAACACATACCCCTCTTCAACTTAGTGATCAAATCGGGGTCCCTCATTTTATGGGTTTCTAATCTTTTTAGCCATAACACCTCCTTTGTGGCGTTACTAGACAAAAATGTGCAAAAACTTGCAATCTTGAAGGTATTCAAGTGGAACCTGAAAAATGAAAGATTTTAGAGAGATGTCAGAAACCCAACAAGAATTTTTGTATTTCACACAAAAAGAACCAGAAAAGAATAAAATGGCAATGGTTAAGAATACCCTCAACAGCAAGCAATAAAAAGCAAAAGGGTATTGATCAAGGATGGAATATAACCAAAAGATAGTGAGACAATATAAAGAACAAAAGGGCAATCTCTATTTCTTTTTGTTGATGTTTTTTTATTTGTGTGATGAAAGAATTTAAAAAAATCTTTTCAAGAGAATGTGGGTGAAAATGTAATGAAGGAATTTAAAGATGAAGACAGTGATGATGAATAAACTGGACCTTGCAAGAAAATTATGAATCAAATGGACAGTAATCACAAAGCATAAATTGGAATTAAAAAAATAATAATAATAAAATAAAAAAAGTAAAGTAAAAAGATATCTAAGATTCTTGAATGCCCCTTTCAGGATGATCTCAGAAGAACCTCTCTTCAACCATCTTTTCTGAAAGAGGGGGGAAAGAATCTTGCTCTCTCTCTCTCTCCCTGTTGTTCCTCTCTCTAAAAATTAAAGAAATTTTCTCTCTCTACCCCCTCAACAGGCAGGGTCACCACCCCCACAAACACCAAACAACATTTTTCTCTCTCTTGTTTTGTTTTCCTATTCTTTTACTAAGATTTTCTTGTATTTTTGTTATAAAAGTGGTTTTGTCATTCTGATTTGGACAGGAACTATGGATGGTCCTACTCACATCTTTCTTAATCTCCTATGACATCTTTGCCCTTTGCCACAATTTATAGTTAGCACCCAATAAACAGAAATAACAGACTCTTCTTGTAGTAGACAAAGAATAATTGGTAAACAGATGATTTTAACCTGGAAGCTATGTGTTTACCTTTGAAGGTCACCTTGTTGTGGCTTCTATGACTTGTATGTGAAAAAGAAGGTATCTTTTAGATGGTAAGTGAACTTTGTAACCCTTCCAATAGCTGCACCAAACAACAAGCTTTGCCAATTAGTAAAGAAAAGGCAAAGCTACCATCTTAGAATCTAATTTTACAAAACTTGTTTCATGTTTCCTTTTCTTCAGGCATAACCCACTTTTCCATCTAAATTAAACCAACATACAAATTTATTTGGTAACTATTTACATGATTCATATTCAACTGACCTTGAAGATTTAAGATGACAGGTGTTGAACTCTGTCTCACTATAAAGAAGCAATTGCCTTAAAAGCCAACTGCCATCCGATAATGTATCTGTTAATATTTTTGTTTGGCAAAAAGGACTAATCAATGCGTCTAGTACCTGAAACCATGGAGTTTGGATCCAACTTTTATTTTTTTTAATGCTAATGACATTATGCCCAAAATGCAAAAAAAAAAAAAAATGATAAAGAGTAGGGAATAGAAAGTACTAGAAATCTATGTACTCATGAGCTTTCTCCAACTTTCTGATAAGAACACAACACTTCATACTGGCCCTGTCAACAACAACTGAGGTGTCAAAAGGATACCATTTTTATACTTTCAGCATATATTTCAATAAGAATACTAAAGAACAAAAGATAATGTTCGAGTGGATGATGTAAGTAATGTGTCAATGATCAGGAGCGTATATTATATATGCACGTAAATCAAATACTTCGCAGACAGTGCATAAATTTATTTTGAAACTTTTATTTAATTAAAGTACTTCAAGAGCTATTTTCATGAAGTTGAATGCTGTAAGTAAATTATTAAATTGTTGGGATGTAAAGCTATTAAGTACTTTTAAAAGAAAGTAAAAGTTGGGATCTTAATTAGTAAAACTTTATTTGTAAGGGGTGTAGTTCAAATTAAGGTAAAGTCAAACGATTTAAGTGAGAAGTATATAAAGGTTTAGTTGCAGAAAAACCTAGCATTTTTATCTTTTTTTTTTCCTGGTGCATGTTTTTTTAGAGAGGATTGAAGAAACAAGAAACTTGAATGCAAAATTCTGGAAGATTTTCGTTCATGCAAGTTTGGTTTCAAGTTTAGCAACATGTAAGGGCAAATCAGTTAAGGAAGTTAAGCTACTGCAGTATCTAACGCCATGACAGAAGCTTTTTGAAGTATAGAGTATATAATGAAAAGAGCCTTCAAATATCTGAAAACCTTCATTTCTTAAGCAAATTTTTATTAACAAATAGTGTTTAGCATAATTACAGTTAATTAGATGTAATGTACCTTCAGCCTTTGAAGGTAAATATTGAGTTCACCATTACAACTAAGAAACAAAAATGTTTTGTTTTTTGAACCCAAGTGCTATAACAATTTGAGATAAACCTCAGAAGAAGCGTGGAAACTGGACCACCATTCACTCCACTTTCCATCCTTCCAGACAAGACTTGGAACCACATTCCAGGATCATTGCCCCTACAATAACTGCAAGCAGAAGGTAGAAGCAAAAGGTCAATGGCTGCAGTAGCCAAAAGACCTGTTGAATGACAATTTGGTCACTCACCATATGTATGTGTGAAAACAAAAATATGCATATAGGAATCAGAAATTACCCCAAGCAATTGAAACAATCAACCTAACAAAGGGAACAAAATCAGAACCCAAACATTCTTCTAACCGTTTAACACCATATCAACACAGAGAATTACCTAGAGAATTTCCACAATAAATACCAAGAATCGGAGAATATGTTTAAAATCGACGACGTTGTGGGTGGAGGGACCAGAATCGGCGGCGTTGGGGGTGGAGGTGGCCGGAATCGACGAAGTTGGGGGTGGAGGAGGCCGGTTGAAATTTGGTTAAGAGAATGAGATGAAGAAGGTCTCGATTTGGGAGAGAGAAGTAAGAGCGTCGATCTGGGAGGGAGAGGGTTTATGTTTTCGTGAAATATTTTGGGGGGGATTAATTAATTGGGAGGGGAAGTATTAGCAACGACAGATCGAGCCACGAGAAATTCCGTCGTGTTCCCTCGCTAAATAGCGAGGGCTTAGCATGGGATATGTTCTGTTGTTGCTGATTCGGTAGCAGATCTATTGATCAAAATGTCTACAATTTAGGTAATCGATATGCTTTTAAAATCCGCTAAACTTGCCTCATAGATCATACATCCGTCGCTAATTACTATTTTCCGTCGCTACTTCCGTCTTGAAACCCATGTTTCTAATAGTGACATGACATTATTATAAAAAATAATGGCGATATTAACTAAAGTAATTATAACTTGAATTAACATTAAACAATTATTAATTAAAAAAAAACATTTTTTGAAAAAATGATCAACATTTCCTTAAGTGGTCATTTCAAACAACTTATAAATACTTTTTCTTGCAGAAAAATACATTTCAGTCCGGATTTACTTATATAAATTTAATATTTCGAAAGGAAAAAAAATCACGAATTTCAAGAACAAATCTAAAATCCGATAAATAATTTTGGAATTTTGATAAAATACTTTTTTTACTAAAATTTGACAAAAATAAATAAACGTGGCAAATGGAGAATATATACAATAGAAAGGTTTATATCATTTGATTCAAAAATGATGATATTATATACTTCGAAATAGGTATTTTGGACATGGATGAATAAAGTTTTTTGAGAAAAAAAAATTATGCAAACAAGAAAAAGATTCATATTAAATATTTTTCATCCGTCTGAAATATTAATAATAAGTATGTAATGATCCATTTAGAACAAGGTGGACACTTTTGTAAAAAAAATGATTATTTTTATTAAAAACTTTAATTGTAATGGCTAATTTAATCAATATCCCTAAATAATAATAGTGTAACAAAAAAATGACTAAAAATGTAACTCTGATATTAAAAATAGTGTTGTCCATTTAAATATTTATCTTTATAAAACTTATGATAAAGGTCATCAAAATGAATCTTGATATCATATTCATTTTGAAACATCCACAACCTTTCAACTTTTATCAAAATATTCACAATCACTCAAGAATTTTTAAACTTATATCTTACTAGGTGATAGGCTTGTGTGAACACGAGTTCAATGATATTGATCTTCATAATAGTTCTACAGGATACACACATACCAATATGATTAAAATCAATACATTACTAAGCATATTAATATGAACAGTATGTAATATGATCATTACAAAGCTTTGAACATTATAATAAAGGTTGTCCATAACCTTTCAAGTTTCATCTCATTAATCGTAGTCATTAAAGAGTTTTAAACTTATATCTTACTAGGTAATAGGCATGTGAACAAGATCTCGATAATATTGATCTTCTGAATAGTTCTACCACATAAATATTCATAACAATATAACTAAAATCAAGAAATTACTAGACATGCTAATATGATAACCAGTGTAGTATATATAAATTTTGAAGTGGTTCCTTCTAGACAACATTTACACGTTGTGCTTTTTTTTTTTGAAAGAGAGAATTTGCACGTTGTGTTTGATAAGTTGTCTTATTCATCAACGATTACCACATTTATTCCTACTTTGCTTGTTACTCTAGACTAGACGACATAAAGTTGTTTGTGGATCAACATAGGCTTTACAATAATAACCCTACTCTTGAAAGTAATTGACATTGGCTTTTATTGATTTTCATTGACAAACACACCGTTGCAAATTTTTTGCAAATAAATTTAAATGGCATTCGTTTTTCAAATGGAATTAAAAGAATCCTTGTCATTAACATTCAAGGCCCAACATTATTTCCATAAATGATTTCAAATTAAATCACATTGGGTGTTAGGATGATTACATGAATGCATGTTCAACTACATATCATTAAACACCGATAAAAATTGCACAACATTTCCAGAGCACCTACTAACGAATTGTATTATTCTGAATTGCATAATTTGTCTAAACTTAAATATGTTTGTGAATAATAGGGCATTTGACTAAGATTAATAGCTTAATGATAAACAATGATCATTCTACACATGATTTAAACATCTATTATATTCAATTTCAAAATATCATTTCATAATTTCATTCCTTATTACATAACTCCAATCCTACCATTAGCTATCATTGAAAATCTTTGATAAGATTCAATCACCTTCCTTTGTAACAAAAAATCTCCAGAGTTCATTGGTCTAACACTTAATTAATTGCATTTTTGGTAAAATGAATCCATCTATATACATATAAAGTTGTACGTTTTTGCAACAAGTTATTCAAGAACAATAACCAAACACAACACTGTTTTGGAGCAGAGATGTCTATGTTCATGATGAATGAATGCATGAAAAACAACCACAAACATCTAGTGTTCACCAACAAGAACACAATTCAAATAAAATCAAATACGAACATATTATACCATTGACATCAACTTTAATCAGTTGTAGAAAATTTACAATCCAAGACAGTAACTTCAAATTCAACTTGTCCACTTACAACAAAAACAACTAAAAGTAAAAGACGAAGAAGAACAATTAAGCATGCTAACAACAGAATCTATGCACGCTCACCACGGATACGCCTAGCCAACTGGATGTCCTTGGGCATGATTGTAACCCTCTTAGCGTGAATGGCACACAAGTTGGTATCCTCAAAGAGACCAACCAGGTAAGCCTCTGCTGCCTCCTGAAGGGCCAACACAGCGTGGCTCTGGAACCTCAAGTCAGTCTGTAACAAAACAACCATAATTAGATATTATAGACAAATAGAGGTTGAAATTGAGATGCATAAACGCAGTAAACACACCTTGAAATCTTGGGCGATTTCACGAACAAGCCTCTGGAATGGCAATTTGCGGATCAGCAGCTCAGTACTTTTCTGGTACTTACGAATCTCACTGCAAGTTCAAACAGATATCGTAAGCAAAACTTATGCATGATCGATCGTGGAGGAGGACTAAGATAAAATGCTTAATCGAACTATAGTGTGAAATTATGTTAATCTATTGAAAAGATAATGAAGAATTAATAAATTTCAGAACAATAGTTTGAGAGAAAGTATAAGGCTCACCGTAGAGCAACAGTTCCGGGACGGTAACGATGGGGCTTCTTCACTCCTCCGGTTGTCGGAGCTGATTTCCTGGCAGCCTGTGCGAATGTCGCGAAAATTAATAATCCACTAGCAAGTGAAAAAAATTACCGAACTAATACGAAATCGAAACGGAAATCGACAAATTCCTCACCAATTTAGACAAAGAATTAAACATCACATACCTTGGTAGCAAGTTGCTTCCTGGGAGCCTTTCCTCCGGTGGACTTACGAGCAGTCTGCTTTGTACGAGCCATTGCGATGGACAGGAAGAAAGATTTTACCGAAATAGGAGAGTTGCTTGATTTGGGAATAGGGTTTTTGATTTGGGAAAAAAGCTCGGTTAGTTATGGATTCTTGGGTATATATATACACGGTAAAACGTGGATTTAGTGAGAGAAATCGGGGATCCGTCTACTTCTCCCCGGTTGGTTGATATTATGATGGACGATTTTGATTGGTCACAAAAAATTGACTCGGATCGTGTTATTGTGTTTGTTTGACTCGTTTTATTTGTGTTTCTTTTGTGTGTAGTCGATCCCCGAGTTGAACTCGGCCACTCTTTTCTCTACTTAACCCAACTCTCTCGTTCATGGCCAGTGGCTCCTTTTTTACATATTTACATATTTTCTAAAACTTTATAATTAATTGTATTTTTTTATGTCTAGTTGAATAGTAACTTTTTTCAACAGCTAATTGTTGAATAGTAACTTGATTTAAATAAAAGTAGCATGTATCTCTTCGAGTGGACGGGAGATACTGAAAAACCGGTGGGTCGATCGTGTTATCGTTGATGGAACGATCCCGAACATGAGGAGGTAACGCTCGATTGAAAGGTCACGTGTTACTTAACCCGTTGATTTTATCTCTCTACCAGCTCTCTTCTCTTTTTGACTGTTGAAGACGGAAAAAATTTCAAGAAAAAGAAAAAAAAATCCTAATTTCAAATAATATCATCATAGGTATTCAACATCAATTTTCTTTTTGAAATATTTTACTTGCTCAATCATAGCAAACAAGACGTGTAATTGTTTTGTTACGTATAAGTTATAACCAACCATACAAATATTATAAAACATACATTAAATATCACGAATAAAAAACTTTTTGCTCGAACAAATCATAAACACAATAAATTTCTGCATTTTAAATCACTTAAATTGTGTTTGACAGACTAACTGAAAAACTGATTGTTGTCTGAAAAGGTAGCTGCTAGTTGATAAGCTAGGTGCTAGCTAATAATATTTGTCGTTTGGTAAAAACTAGCTAATAAGGTGGTTAGAAAATGTAAAATGACATAAAAGAACATTTACGAAAATGATTCAACTTTTTATAAAACAAATATGTAAATCATAAAATTAAATTAAAGAAAATACTAAATAACATTTTTACGACTATTTATGTTTAAGTGAAATGTCATGCATTCCATATCATATTCGCAATATTGTCACGAATTTCTCGCATCTCATGTGAATATTATCATGACTAAATCTTGAATAATTCTCTTTTTCTTCTCTAGGTATGTAATTATGTTGTTGAACAATGTTGAAAATCACATCTTCCAAATCATTTCTTCGAATATAGTTATGAAGGGTAAATGTCGCCATGATCACGTCTATTTGAGTCTTCTCACTAAATTTTGGCATTTTGTTCACTATTTTCCACCTTTTCTTCAAAACTCCAAACGAACGTTCAATACAACTTCGAAGAGATGAATGTATGCGGTTAAAAGCCTCTTGAGCATAGCCAAATACACTAATTATTTTGTGGAAAATAACCAAAAAAAACAAGTTACAAAATTAGCCCTTAAAATCGCAGATGGATTAAGCTCATCTGCGATTTCGCATTTCCATCTGCGATTTTGTGTATTACATCTGCGATTTCGTAGAGATTTAGTATAAAAACGTTTTATTTTTCTTCATTTTTCACTATTTTTTTAGAGAAACTATCTCTCTCTCCTGCGATTTCCTTAGAGTCATCATGGATGATTTCTTCAATAATCCCGAAACAACATTTTAAACAAAAATTCCAAAGAAATAACAACAAAAATGATAATTTGTTGAAAAAGTTTATATATAATAAGGTTGTTTCGTGGTCAAACCCTATCAATTTCGTAGTAAAAAAAACAAAAAAAAAATCGAAAAATCGCAGGTGAAAACGAGAGGAAATCGCAGATGGACTATGTCCATCTGCGATTTTATGCTGGAAAATGAGATATATATACACAGCGAAAAAAAAATAAATAAATAAAAAAACACTTGCGAACGTACAAGTGGCTAAAGCACAGACGTGTTTTAACCACTTGTACGTTCGCAGATGGGAAGGCGAAATCGCAGATGGCTTATATCCATCTATGATTTTAGTGGGTAAAAATGCAATTTTGGTTTTATTTGACTATTTTCCACAAAATAATTTGTGTATTTGGCTAAATTTGCAATTTTCTCATAATATTTGTCGTTTGGTAAAAACTAGCCAATAAGGTGGTTAGAAAATGTAAAATGACATAAAAGGACATTTACGAAAATGATTCAATTTTTTATAAAACAAATATGTAAATCACTTCACTTCAACCCATAAATTTTTTCCAAATCTTCACATAGTTGTGTAAATAAACTAGCACTCATACGGAAAACATTAATACATCGTATTTGATGACCGTCCAAGATCTCGTTCATCCACGTTTCTCCTGCTTTGAAGTCATAAACGGCTCCTTGTAAATATGAGTGTAGTAATAATTAACCACTGCTTCTTCATTTCGTAGCCACTGATAGAAAGATGTCGTTTTGGCTCATTACACGCTTGCCATACTTATTATTTAACTTGTAACATTCCTCGCTATGTCAAAACAGTATAGGCAATGTATTTGTCTAATGAGAATACCCAATTTAGATTCATTTTGAGTAAGAACATGGCAATCTAACTTACTTGAACCGGTCTCCGAAAAAAAAAACATTTTAAAACTCTTTTACAAATGATATAAGGGTTTTATTACCCATATCTTATCAAAGATTGTTTCAACATATTGGATTTATTAACCCGAAATTAAATAAAAATCGTTTCGAATAAGTTAGGGTCTAATGACCTTAGTCAACTTCAACAAATACCATTTCAAAAAAGTTGGGGTTTAATGACCCGAATCAAGTTAAAGTGTATCATTTCAAATATGTTATGCTTTAATGACCAAATAAAGTTAAAGGGTTTATGTCCCACAAATCAACTTTTAAATCACCAAGAATCTTAACTACCATTTGTTAGCTGAATAAATATCAATTTCTAACTTAGTTCAAAAATAGGATAAACAAACAACAATGTAACATCCCAAAAATCATAAGTAAAAATTTAATTTCTAAGTCAACCAAAAAATCAAATATTCATATCACACCATCCAAAAGTATGTCAATGTAAAAATAGTTATCATAGTTCAATCCCAAAATCATAAAAATGCATAAACACAAGTGGAAGCGTTGTGATCAAGCTGGGTCCTTCCATTTCGAACTGGAGGTACCTGAAACATAAACTTAAACCGTAAGCATAAAGCTTAATGAGTTCACCAAATATCACATATCATACATCATTCATACATATCATACTAAAACATATAACATATCTATTTCACCCCTGAGTCCCTTCCAACTCTCTGAGTCCCTTCCGACTCGTCGAGTATCTTCCAACTCCCTTAGTCTCTTCCGACTTGTAACGCCTCGTCCCGAATCGTTTCCCATTTGGATGCGGGTGACGTAATTTAGATGATTTGGGTGTTCGGGTTGTGTTTTAGAGCCAATGGTAATTTGGTAAAGTGTTAGCTCGGACTTTTATGGTAATTAGAATTTTGTTCGCGAAAATTTATGGCAGGTATGAGTTGATAAAAGCATAGAGCCTCTCGTTACCTTTTTCATGGATATAAGGATCGTCGGAATTGGATTTATAACGAGGAAGTTATAGCCTTCAGAGTATATTAGGGTTTAAGGGAAACCCTAGTACGCGGGGCGTACTAGTACAAGGGTCGGTACGTGAGGCGTACATTGGTGTACGCTTAACTACTAGGAAGGACTGATCGTGGATGCGAGACCTCGTACCCTGGGCGTACGAGGATTACGCGGAGCATACGAGGAGTTAGTGGAAACCCTAATTTAGGGTGTTGTACCCCATATAAACACCTAAAGTCTTTAGGTTTGGCCTCTTTACCAGCCTCCAAGCCCCCAAAACCCTAGAAATCGCCCCTTAGCCTCCATTAATGTTCATTTGAGCTATTAAGGAGATTTTGGTGTTGTTTTTGCTCATTTTGAAGAGATTGAAGAAGGATGAAGGTTCATAGCTTGGTGGGGAACTTAGAGATCCAGAATCATTCATCACTTTGCAAGCTCCTGGAGGTATCAAGTTCAAATCTTTACTTGTTAACACACATGATGTTTTTGCTGGGAACACTTTTTAAGGGTTATGAAACTTTGATTTTTGGTAACTTATGTAAACTCTAATATTTTTCCCAGTGATTAAACATTAAATGTTTGGGAAAAGTATGATTTGTTACAATATGAAAAAGGTAAAGATTGAGAAAAACAAAGCATGATAAAGATGTGATATTAGATGATAAAACGTGAGGATATAGTATGAACAGAGTGTGAGATGAGCATGGGAATAGGCAAAGAATTAGTATAAGATGAGAAGACAATATTAGAATAGAAGGGTATGAAAAAGAAAGGACAATTGCGTAAGCTACAAGAAGGAAGAGGTTAGATTTACAGAATATGAGAAAAAAGAAAAAATAATGCTAGATTATGTAAATAATTAAATATTATATATTAACAAGAAAATATATAGAATATAACTCACTAGACCTATGGTCTAATGTTGTAGATATTTTTAATATTTTGCAGGTTCAGATGTTAGCCATTGTACGAGAGGAAATAGGAGCACAAGGACTTAGACTAGGATTAGTTTATCTATTGTATATTTAACGCCCGTGTTTCTAGGCTAGGCATTAATATTGACATAATAGTCTAGGTTAACCTTTGCAACTCATGTTGAAGAAATGAAAAAGAATTATGTGAATATTATGTGAATTTTGTGTTTTATGCTTAATTATTAGGATTTAATTAATTAAAAATAAAAATGAGCGTCGAAAATAAATATTAGATAAAGCCGATATCTATTAAGAAAGTTGTAGTGGTCGTGAAAAGGATTACGGATATATAAAGAATACCGAAATCCGAGTTATAACGAAGAAGTTATGACCTGTCGAAGAACGTCCAAATCTGACTTCGTATAAGGAAGTTATGATTTTTCTAAGTTTCAGCTTAGCAGTAGACAGTTAAAAACTCGAATTTTAGATCGAGTGATTTTTAGCTGACACAACCTAAACGAGAATCGAAGGTCTCGTCAATAGTAGTACAACGATAAAAAGACAGAC